TAAGTAGGAAAACTGGTTCGTGAGAAAATTCATACTTGCTGTATATCCTTTGTAAGTCCACGGGTTATATCAAGCATTCCTTGATTATGCTCAATACTTAAGGACCAGTGGCCAGGCTGTTGTGTATGTGTGTATATATGCATGTGTGTGGGAGGGATATTTGATATTCTTTCTTTTTCAATATTTCTTACCCAATCATGAGTCAGAGCCTTTATGGGATAAAGGCTTCCTAAGATGTAAATGTCCAAGAATTGAGCATTTCTAGGAAATTCCTGAAGCATCCCAAGAAAGTTAGGCTGAGGATGAATTCTCACATCCTACACATGCTCCACAAGTGTAGAATTATTCAATTCTGCTTCGATGGAAAGGGCAAGGGCAAGGACAGCCTAAAGACAGTCTGTTATTCCATGAACTAAACATGAGCTGACACTGACACCCAGGTCCAGAGGAAACAAGTCAGTGACACTATCAAAGACCTCCAGATAGGATTCCTCCAGACAGCAGTGAAAAATTCATTCAGTTGTTTGTCTCAGAGGATTCTGTCTTAGATACGAAGTGTGTGTGACTGATGAAGGCACAGTGATGGTGGGTCTAGGCAGAGAAGTTGGAAGATGACACAGAACCTCTCAATTGGGAAAAACTTCCCCCTTTTTCCTCAAATAAGCTCTTGTCCCTCTGGAAAACTCTTAGTTTCTCTTCAAAGCCCTAAAGAAAATGCTACCTCCTCTAGGAAGCTCTCTAGGGCCACTCAAAGTATGGCCCCTGCTTGCTTGGCTTTCAGTTACTGCACGTATGACCTGGTATCACAGTTACTTGCTGCCTTCTGCCTCCTCCACCAGACTACATCCTCCTGCATTATCCCCTCTCACATTTCTCATGGGTTGAAATAATATATTTGAAGTATTTGCTAACATTGATTGATCTGTTTTCATTGCAAGAAAACATAGCTCCTAAATGCAGGGACTATGGTCTGCCTTACTGCTCACTATTCTATCCCCCGTACCCAGAACTTTGCCTGGCGTCTGGGAAGTGCTCACTAGAGTTTGTTGAATGAATGAATGAATGAATGAATGAATAAGTAGAGGTCAGCTCCTTAGGGTTCTGTTTCTCCAGCTCCCAGCATAGTGGCTGGCACAAAGTTGTCAGGGAGGAAAGGTTAAATGAACAAAATTGCTTTTTAAAAAATCATCTTTTAAGTTTTAAAAAGTAGTCTATTTTTATGTAAATTGCTATCCAAACCAGGAATGTATAAATATGCCATCCTCATTGGCATAGAATTTGGACTGAATAGAAACCTGAAGATGGGCAATGAAGAATTTAAGCAAAAATTAGAGATATATTCTAAGCTGGGAACTGTTCCATGTATTATACTCATAGGCATCCTCATTGGAGTCCTAGTAAGACGGAAGAAAAAGATGCTAAAAACACAATCTAAAGAATTTGGGAGAGACTCTTGCTTCTGGGAATGACTTCACGTGGTCATAATTTCACTTATCAAAGCCCACATGTTTAAAGCATTCTGCTCTTCATATTTTCCCATTGTCATTACATCCCAGTAAGGTAGATCAATCAGGAGCTATACCCATTTTTTAGAGAGGAAAACTGAGGCTAGAGGCTATGCAATCTCTGTAAGGTCACAAAGCTAATTAGTAGTGGAGTGAGTTCTAAATCAGGTCAGCTGACTCCAAGTTTAGTAATCTTCCCACTCCCCACTGGTTGGGTGGCAATTATAATTTTCACTTCATTCCAACTACAGCCCTGGGCCAACTCTAAATCTTTGCTGAGGCCGCCAATTACTCTCAACTTCTGCATCTTCAGCATTTAGTATTCCTGGGACCTCAATTGGTATTGGTAAGAATAGTCTCCTTACAGCATAGTAGTTAGGGGTTGTATTTAGAGTCAGACAGACCTAGGTATGAGGACAAATCCCACTACTGTGATCTTTAGTATGTTTACTTAACCTCCCTGTGCCTCAGTTTCTTCAACTGTGAAATGGGATGATAATAATATATACCTCATATGGTTGTTGTGAAGATTAAATGGAAAAATGGTTACAAAGCATTTAGTGCAGGTTGTGTTTTACAGCCTCATGTTAAAATGAGAAAAGGTGATTAGCTGAGATGTTAGACACGGACTGTCCCCCCTATTAAGATGCCTTCTGCTCATTAAGACCCCCCCCTCATTCCTCCCAGGCTCAGGGCAGGGGCTTTGCAGGAAGAGGTTAATCCAGCAAGTGTGGTTTGCCTGTGGTGTGCTTGCCTAGCCCCATAAAACCCTCCAACGAGAGGCAGCTCGTTGGCTTGGCTGTCCCTAGGCATTCTGTCCTCTCACAGAGGCTGAGTTTGTGCCAAGCCTAAGCCCTCTGCCCCAGGGAGTCTCTGTGGGTTGAGTCAGGCAACTGTAGTGAACAAGTCTTGTTCCCACTGATCCCCAGGCTCTAGCTAAGGGTTCTTTCCAGGAGGGAGTCTAGGAGTGCTGAATGGGATAGATGCCTGGACTTCCTGCTTGGAAGACACTGAAGGACAGTGTTTGCTGAGACAGGAAGAGAAGGAGTCTCCAGGAGAGACCGTAATGTTTGAGATACACAAGAACAGTGCTTGTGGGCGCAGCCTTCCACAATAGATGGAAGAATCCCAGGCATCCAGACAAGAAAGACATCTGCTCTGAAACAATGAAGAGGCCATGGACTGATCACGGCTCACTCATCAAAAGCTGGTCATGGAGATACCTGAGGGCCAATTAAGTCATTCACCCAGATACCCTCACATCTTCCCAGTGCTGCCTCCTTTGGAGTTTAAGGGAAACCTGATCCTGGAGGGTAAGCATCTCTTTGATCCCTGCTGGCCTCAGCGAAACATCATTTACAGGGAAAGTTTTGAGCCCTCCCTAGAGCAAAGGCTTGGGCTAAGTTCTCCCTCTGTGGATTGGAGCCAGGCTAGTTAAACTTTATATGTGAAGTGTGGCAATTCGAGGAATAACCTCCACTTTACAACATCCCCTGTCTCCTTGCCTACCAATAGCAATTGGCCTGAAAGTCTTGGGCTTGGATGGAAAGGAAACCACAGGCCTAACCCAGCTCCACCCTAGCAGGCTGGGTAGGTGTAACATGACCTGCTCCTCAACCTGGGCTATGGCAGACAGGTACCCGCCCTGGCACACCTGCCCAGAAGTCTGTTTCTGGTAAGGAGGTAGGTGAGTATTCAATAGCTATGGCCCCAGGATAGGGCACTAAGCTCTCTTTATAAGGGCAGGTTCCCCTGAGATGGAGTTGGGTAGAGGAAGGAGGCAGGGAGAATATCAATTCAAAAGAAAGAATGGGGTAACCTAGAAAAGGCTGTTGAGTAGGAAGGAAAGAATGATAGGCTCAGAGAAAGAGCACTGGGGTCACTTAGAGGACTTGCACACCCTCTAGGCATTGGGGAAGCAAAGAATTTCAGAGTAGAAGCAGTGCAAATATTGTTTGGGTGGCAATTATAATTTTCCTTGGGCACACCCTATGTGAATCTGAAGTAGGCTCTAGTTGGGGTGGCAGAGGTGGAGGAAAGAGAGGAGGTTATGAATAGTTCCTTCCCTTCGCCTTCTCCAGGACCCTGTGAGCTGTCCAGGACTCAGCCCAGGATCTCACCTGAGGTAAGAGGTCCCTACATGGGTCTATTCTCTGCTCATAAACTGGTTTCTTTTATGACACCACCATACCTACCAGTCATTTTGGCAAAGTGACCCCAAGGACCCAAGTCACATTCCAGGGGCTGCAGGGCTGCATTCTGTCATGCTATGGTAGGGGGAAAAAGTTTGGGGTCAGCGGGCCTCTGGCTTCCAAGGGGCTCCTGGTGACCACGGTTTTGCAGGGCAGGAACGGAGGCAGAAGATGCCTCTCTTTTCAGGCCTTGCCCAATTCTTTGCTTTTACCCTAGACCTTTGTGTGCACAGTTGCAACTGAGCCCCTGGAGGGTACTTGGGGCTCCCTTCGAGGCAATATGAGGAAGCAGGCGCATGTTACAGGGTGCAGGTCTGGGTTGTGCGAGGTTTGAGGTGGGAGGGGCCATAGCACCAGGCATAGGGCCCAACCTCCAACTTCCCAGGTCTGCGGGAGGCTGAGGGTAAGGAGTGTGTATATGAAATGAGAATAGTGAGGTGGGAAGCCTCCCCTGCCCACCCCCTGAAAAAAAACAGAAACCCCAGCCCCCTTTCTCAGGCCCGTGGAATTTCCTAATTCTCCCTTGGAAGTGCAGTTTCCAAGTCAGCTCAGAGAGTCCCAGGGCCAGCAGTGGTTACACTCACTTCTCCTTTATGAAGGAGCCTCTGTGCCTTGCCCTCACCTTACAAGACCAGTCCCTCACTGTGCGTCTCCCCAGATTGCCCGGCTCTCCGATCTTTCACCCCTTCCCAGGGTAGAGTACCAGGCTTCACTCTCTCTCGAAGGAATCCAGCCAGCAGTACGGTCACAAATTCAACGTCCTCTCCCTCCCGTTTCATCCTTCCGCCTCCCACCACCTCCTTTCACCCCAGGACGACCCCCAGAGCTTCCGGAACTAGGGTGACCTTGGCAGGGCCGGCCTGGGGCTGCAAGCCCCTCCTCCTTCCACCCGCCTGGTCCCCAGGACCCCCGACCTTCACAGCCCGGGCCCCCACGCGCCACAGCCGCAACCATCGAAGTTCAATCAAGTTGCGCTATTGTCTCAGCTCCGTCCAGGTCTCCTGGGCGCCTAAGCTCCTTTCCTTCCCTTTCCCCTCCCTAGAGCCTTCCACACACCCACTCCCAGCCCCAAATGCCCATAAGCCAAACGTCCAGGAGCTCGGAGGCTCCGGCGGCGCAGGCACTCCTCTCTCTGGCAGAAAAGCGAGCGCGGCCAAGACCCTCCTTCTTGCGGACCCCACACCCACTGCCCCGAGACTGCAGCTGCGGCGGAACTGGGGGGCTGTGGCTGGGAGGGGGGTGCCACAAACTCGACCCCAGCTCTGCGGTCTGGCGGTGAGGCCGGGGGTGTGGGGGCGCTTACCTGCGGGGGAAATTCACTGTCCTTCCGGATCTGGGCAGGGGCAGATGAAGCATCTTCCCCGGCTCAGGCGGCCATTCACCGGGTGGGTACCCAGTGCCCCCCAGGACCGCTCTCGCCCGACACCCGGGGACACCCGAAAAGGTATGAGCTGTGGGCCACGCGGAGGGTCAGAAACCGAACCCTCGCCTGCCCTCCGCTCCCTTTTCTCCCCACCACCCGGGCTCGTACTTACGGCTCCAGCTGTACTTAAAGTGACAGAGCCCCATTTCCCCGCCGCTGACTTCTGTCCCGAGCCCCAGCGATGCAGGCTGCGAGCGGGCTCTTTAACGCCCAGAGCAGGTAGACAAAGAGCCACCGCAGCCTCCTCCGTTCCGGTGGCCTCGGAAGCCTGGAGGTGCCGACGGGGCTGGGGGCTCGACTTTCACCTGGGCTGCTCCGGAATTAACCCCTGGGATGCCAGCTGCGGTCCCTTGGGCTCTCTTACTCGCGCTGCACTGGCAGGAGGGGGTGTGAGCAGCGAGCCACTTCTCTCTGGGGCACGGGTGGGTAAGGAGTTGGGGAGGCCTGGGCAGAACCTTCTCCATAGAGGGCTTTCTCCCAGCCTCCTCCTGGCTCCTTTCCAGGCTTTTAGAAATTTCTAAAAATCGGAGCATGGGTCAGTGCATTGCCTAAAACAAGGTCCGTGAAGGGGTGTGGTGGGACACGAAGGTCCGATAGGGGTACATATTGCCAGAGGTTAGCTCAGGACCCTTCTGCTCACAGCCGGGAGCCAAGTAGGATGGTGCGACCTTCTGATGTCCTAACAACCTCAGGGGGTGGGGCCTAACATCTCTCCAGCATTCAGGAGACCACAGATTAGGTGAGGTGTGCTTGCTGGGGGAGGACTGTGGGAGAGAAACAACAGTTCACACCACCCAACGATCTGTGCCTTTATCCAGGACCCACTTTCAGCTGAATGGTTAGGAATAAAACAGTGGGATCCAGTAGCAGGGCCCTCCCATTGGGTTCCTCCCCACTGAGGGTCCTCCTGGTAACTTCACTCTCTTGGTTCCAGAGAAAGGAGCCCTGTTGGGGAATTAGCCTGCTGCCCTCACCCTTGCTTCCTCCAGTTCTCACTCTTGGCTCCTGGAAGGGGTTAAGTGTCTATGGTTGGGTCCCAATCCCAATGTGAACTGGGCAAACTGGGAAGCCTACATTTTAGAGATGGACAAATTATACCTGCAGTTTCTTTAAGCGACAAAAACAACAGCAGCAACTTTTTTAAGCCCCCTAATGTGCTGAACTAAGATGACTTGGGACCACAGAGCAGTAGTCTCTAGTGTTTGGGCCGTTCGATGTGACTGAGCCACACATACAGATACAGGTCACATGTGTTTTCTTAGGCCTATCTTTCCAGGCCTCGGTTTTTACAGATGTTAAGGGAGAGGTTTGCACTCCTGAACTCCTCCTCCTCGCTCTTACTGCCTTTAAAGAGGTCTGGGTGGTGTTTTGAGTCCTAGGAATAGTCCTTTCCCAAGCCCCCCAGCAATGCAGGCTGCCACTACTATTTTCAGCCCACAGGTCAGTGAACTTTGGGTAACTGGACAGCCCATCTGCCCCTACTACTCTGGCTACCCAATGCCACTGACCTGGGACTGCAGCTCTGGGGTGATGAACCACAGTTCTTAGAGGGCGGAAAACCTCAGCAGAGGGATCTCCGTTTCCGGAGAATGGAACAGTTTAAGTTGGAGGAAGGGTCTTTGTTTCTGAGGTTGCATATTGTGGCCAAGTTTTCCAAATATGCTTGATCAAAGGGGAGTAAAGGGCTGCAGTGATCCTAGCACCAATCCCTCAGACTTCCCCCTAGCATAGGGGATAGACAGACTTTTATTCCCTTTACTCTGTCTAAGTGGTTTGGGTGGTAAGACTTAGAAAAGATGCACCAGCTCCCAAGCAGACCAGCTCTGAGGGGGAATCAGAGTAAGGCAGATGGTCCTCTCACATATTCTTCCATTTCATTCCAGGATGATGTCCCTGGCCAAGCTCTATCCTGGCTCTCCTGTTCTGATAATGTCCTGAGCCTCCCATCCTCACCACCACCCAAAACAGGGTGAGCACAGTGAGTTCTCTAGGGAGGCTCTGTCCATGCAGCTGTGCTGGAGCTGGCCTGGGTCATCTGGGGAACAGCTTATAGTGACGTGCCATAAGGGATTCTCTTTAGCCTCAGCCAGCATGGAATCCTGAGTAAAATGACTTTGTCTCAGCCAAAGGAATGTCATCAGCAGGGGATGTTTTTCTCCAGATCTAGCTGTAAGCTTTCCATAACGTTTCCTCCTTTGTGGTTTTCTCGGCAGGGCCTGGAAGGAGGGAGATCTGAGGCCTGGAAGGGGTAGACATAGGGGTTTACTTGGAGGGACAGGGGTCTTGTGCATGGAGCTGAGCTGTTCCTGAACATTCCCTCACAGCCCTCCAGAGACCATGTGGCTCAATCCCTCATCCTCATACCTGGAGGCCTGCTCACCCTCCCTTCCACCCTCCTCCCGCTGTGTTTCACCTCACAGGTGAACTGGAGGAGCAGATCATAAAGAGAACAAGTCTCAGCCAGTAGCTCAGCTCAGGGCAGAGGCTGTCAGCTGAGTCCCCACTGAGCATTCTGGGGTATAGGGTCTGTACACCACCTCCTTCTTGGGACTGATTCCTGAGATGCCAGAACCAAACAGAAGGTGAGGTTCCTGCTCTAGGTTCCTCTTTCCTTCTTCATGAGGAGGGTAAGTCCCACAGTAGTGTCTACCTTACTGCTTGGTGGAGGTTATGGTGGGCTTTTATAGGGGAAGGAGCAGGATCCCAGAAACGTTGCTACTTAAATAAATAACATGCAAATTAGCACTTGCTATTTTCAGTCCACAGGTCAAGGCACTTTGGGTAATAGGCAGCAGCACTGAAGAGAAATGCTGGCTGGGAGTTTTTTGTGAAAATATGAAAACACAGCCTCCCCTGTCAATGGGGAGCTCCGCGCTTGAAGGGGCCCTGACCTTGCCTGTCATGAGGGTATGGCAGAGTGGAAGGGATATGGTGGCACAGTTGCCTTGACTACAGTGGGGATAGGGTATGGGGGACGGGCAATGCAGGGGTGACTCTGAGCATGACTGTAGCCTGGGGCGCAGGGAGTTGGGGGCAGCTGAGGGACACATGGTAGAGGGGGATGACACCTGCTGAAAGGGAGCTGGGAGTCAGGCACTTGTCCAGAAAGAAAACCCAGCCAAAGAGGGAGAGAGGAAAAAGGCTTGTCTATCTCACATAGGCTTCCTCTGTGCTCCTGTGGGGCTTCTCTTCAAAGAGCCCTTAGGAGCCATGATCTCATTTGTCTCCCATGCCAGCACTCTCACAGCAGCTCTTTACAAGGGGGAAACTGAGGCATAGAAAGTTCAGGAAATGTCCAAAGCAGAGGGCAGAACGCAGACTAATATGCATGAGGTCCCTCAGCCAGATTCCTGGGAGGGCGTAATTCCCTCTTCCTTCCCACACCTTCCCCACCTCAAAGGATCTCTGGAGTCACCTTGGCTGAGGCCCAAGGTTCTTTTGGCTAAAGTTTCATTTCCAACAGAGACATCAAAAGATAGTTTATGGGAGGCTCTCCTTGTCTCCTGGACAATAATCTCAGAGGTTGATGTGGTTGGTTAGAATGGGGTAAGAAGAAAAGGGAAAGACTTGAGAGGCAGTTTGGTGTGCTCTGAATTCCAGTGTCACTTGCCTGAGGGTTTCTGGGTTCCAGGGTCACCTGTCTGGAGCCTGATCACATACCTGATTTCCTGGTGAGCCCCAGAAATGAGACCCTTGAGGGGATTAGGGTCCCAAGGTAGGTATCCATAACTCTGTCCATTGACCTGCCCTCATGTCTGCTTGTTCCCATCACTAATGAGGCTATTTCATTCCTTAGATGGAAAAGCCTGTCCTTGCACAAGTTTTGGCCAGTCAGAGAACATCCCCCTGGGCCTGTGGGTGACAGCTGGGCCTGTGACTCCTCTGCATCCTAGCCAGGCCTGGTTGATAGCATAATAGCAGAGGCAGGACAATGGGTATTTTATAGCAGAGTGATTAAAAAGAGAAAGAATTAAATCAGAGTGGAGGGGCAGGGAAAGGAAAGAGAAAGGAATTGGGAGAGGGACTTCAGTGAATTAACCCTTTCCATACTGTGGCAGGATCAATGGGGAATTACCTGGCCACATCCTTAATCCCAGCTTTCAAAAACCTACTCTCAGATGCCCCATTGACCCAACTGAATCCTGAGGGAATCATCTGTCATGATCTTGACAGCTGTCTAGGAAAATAATTTCCAGTCTCTGTGTAGCAGAAGTTTTCAAAGCATTTTCACATCTATGAGTTTATTCTATTCTCAGACAACCTAAGCAGGTATTATTATACTTGCTTTAGAACATTAACAGCAAGTAAGATTAATAATAGAGGGGCCTAGTTTGGCCACAGGTTTAGAAGCCACAATGACATTGGGTCCAGATCCAGGCAATGGATTTCTTTACCATTAGCAATGCCTGTGTCTTCCAGAGTTCCTCATGCATGAGTGTGGGGAGCTTCTCTCCTTTCCTGGACCAGCATGACTGCTGTCTTTCCTCCTCAATCTCCAGGCCCTTCCTGCAGGAAATGCCAGGTACCCTGGATCAGACCCAGTTCATGTGGTCAGAAAATCCAGAATGTTCGAGCCAAAAAGGACTTTAGAGAGCATCTAGTTCAAACCCCTCATTTTCACAGAGGAGAAAATTAGGCCCAGACAGGGCAAGTGACTAGCTCAAGACCCCTCTACACAACTTAGGTGTCTTGATTCCTGGGGCAGGCTTCTTTTCACCAGTCAATAGCACCACTTTTTGCCACTCCCTCCCTGGGGCTAGTGTGGGGCTCAGATGGACAGGTTTGGAAGGTAGATGGGAGAGTTTGAACTGGGGTCACTGGGAGTCAACAGATGCACAGCAGAGTGTTCCAAAGCTCAGCCCTAATCCCAGCTGAGATTTCTCTGGGTTAGCAAGTCAGCCAGCTGGAGGAAGGGGTCCTGGTCCCAGCTGTGTTACTGTTCAACAAATATTTATATAACCTTCAAGGAGACCTGCCTTTCTCACCACCCCCACAGTTGGGAGGGGCAGGAGAGAGGGTAGACCCTCCACATCTTGTATAGTAAGCTACTGTCTCAGTAGTCCTAGCTGATTATCCTGCTTCCAATATCCCAACACATCAGTGGCTTTGTGTGCTTCTGAGAACACGAGACAGAGGACCACAGGAAGGGGTAGGGGAGAGGGGCTGCCTCTCCAGTAAGGGCCTGATGGACCCTCACCCGGGGTCACTGGGCAGATGCCACGGTGTGTGTGTATGCATATATACAAACCCTCCACCTCAAGAGGCCAGGAGCAATCATTTCAGATCAGCTTAAGCACCCATTCCACTGCACTCCATTGCTAATTTGGATCCCATATCTCTGTGAAACAGAAATGAAACCTCATAAATGTATTGAGAAAGTACTGTAAATGATCTTCTTCTTCTTCTTCTTCTTCTTCTTCTTCTTCTTCTTCTTCTTCTTCTTCCTCTTCTCCTCCTTCTTCTTCTTCTTCTTCTCCTTCTTCTTCTTCTTCTTCTTCCTCCTCCTCTCTTCTTCTTCCTCTTCTTCTTCTTTTTTTGAGACAGGGTCTTGCTGTGTCACCCAGGCTGGAGTGCAGTGGCATGAACATGGTTCACTCCAGCCTCAATCTCCAATCGCTCAAGCGATCCTCCCACCTCAGCCTCCAGAGTTGCTGGGACCACAGGTGCAAGCCACCACATCCCGCTAGCTTTAAAACTTTTTGTAGAGAAAGGGTCTCGCTGTGTTGCCCAGGTTGGTCTCGAACTCCTGGGCTCAAGCAATCCTCCCGCCTAAGCCTCCCAAAGGGCTAGGATGACAGGTGTGAGCCATCACACCTGGCCAATGTTATCTTCTTTAATCCTCAAAACCATCTTGCCACCTCCACTTCTATCCCTGGTGTGAGCCACCATCTGCTCTCACCTAGCTAACTGCAGCAGTCTGCTTTCCACGCTTCCTGGTTCCCCTGGTGTCCCTGTGGTCTGCTCTCCTCAGAGTAGCCAGACAGACCCTTTGCAAAACATGTTGGATCACATCGTCCTTCACCCTGAAGTCCTCCAGTGGCTTCCTCGCTCTTGGAAGAAAAGCTAAAGTCCTCAGCATGGCACACATGGCCTCTGGCTACCTGGGACCTCATTTCTGGCCACTTGCCCCCTTGCTAATGCTCCTTCAGCCACACTGACCTCCCTGCAGTTCCTTGAACTTATGCTGATTCCTGCCTCTGGGCCTTTGCATATACTCTTCTGTCTGCCTGGACAGCTCTCTCCCCAGTTATCTGCATAGTTTATCAAAGAAGCCTTCCCTGACTACCCACTCTCAAATACCCACTACCCTATCACTCTCTGCCCCTTACCCTGCTTTATTTGTCCTTATGACACGCAGCACCACCTAATCTATTGCATGTTTATTTGTTGGCTTGTTTGCCATTTCTTTTTCTCTCTGTCTTTAATTTAATATATATTTTTTTAAATACAGAAGGTTTCACAAATTTGGGTGTCATCCTTGCACAGGGGACATGCTAATCTTCTCTGCATTGTTCCAATTTTAGTATATGTGCTGCCAAAGTGAGCACTGCCATTTCTTTTTTGTTTTGTTTTTTGAGACAGAGTCTCGCTCTGTTGCCCAGGCTGGAGAACAGTGGTGTGATCTCGGCTCACTGCAACCTCTGCCTCCTGGGTTCAAGCGATACTCATGCCTCAGCCTCCTGAGTAGCTGGGATTACAGGCACATGCCACCATGCCCGGCTAATTTTTGTATTTTTAGTAGAGAAAGAGTTTTGCCATGTTGGCCAGGCTGGTTTTGAACTCCTGACCTCAAGTGATCCACCTGCCTCAGCCTCTCAAAGTGCTGGGATTACAGGTGTGACCCACCATACCCGGCCATTTCTTTTCATACATGAGTTTAAGAGTAATGCCTATTTTTCCTCCTGCCACATCTGCAGTGTCTGGTATATATTAGGTGGTCTACAAGTGTTTATTGAATGTATGAGCAAATATCACAAGGTGGGCATTTCTTTCAGATAATGACACCGAAGCACACAGGGGCTAAGTAATGCACATAGGTAGTGAGTAGCAAACCAAAAATTATATCCAGGCCAGGTGGGCTTGAATGTTCCATCTACTTTGCTACTCTGCCTCCCAAGAGCAGGAAACTAACCACAAGGACCTGTGGAGATAAAAGAGATTGTATAAGCCAGCCATGGTGGTTCATGCCTGTAATTCCACCACTTGGGGAGGCCAAAGTGGGTGGATAGCTTGAGCCCAGGAGTTTGAGACCAGCCTGGGCAGTATGGTAAAACCCTGCCTCTACAAAAACAAAACAAAACAAAAAACAAAAATTAGTGTGTATTTTAAAATTTAAGAATTAGCCTGTACTACATTTTAAACTTAGCACGGATTAAAAATAGCATGGTGGCGCTTGCTTGTAGTCCCAGCTACTTGGGAGGCTGAGGTGGGAGGATTACTTGGGCCCAAGAAGTCAAGGCTTCAGTGAACTATGATTGTGCCACTGCACTCCAGCCTGGGTGACAGAGTGATGCTTGTCTCAGAAAAAGAGAGAGAGAGAGAGAGAGAGAGAGAGATTGTATAGCTGTTGCCTTCCAAACTTCAGGAGTATCTGATCAGAGCTGGCGAAGGGTGGTATCTCTTAGTTGGAACCTCACACAGGGAGCTCCTTTTCCTGGCTAAATCCAGAAAACAGGGAACATCAGAGGACAGTTCACTCCAGCATGGGCACAGGGCAGCTGGCTATCCCCCAGGGCCCCTCTGTGGAAGCTCATTGTGGCTTGGAAAGGGGCAGTGACAGCCAGATGATAAGCTCTGTCCCTGATCTTCTAATAACACTCAGCAGAATGTCAGCAGTCCTGGGAACCCCAACTGCTGGAAGTCCCACCACCTGAAATTGTCCATATGGCCATGTATGTATAGATAGTGTCATTCCTGAACTGCCCTTTGTCATCAAACCCACAGGGGCCAAGACAGAAGCCAGACATCAAAGTAGAGGAAGAATGAGAGATTGAGGCTGGGGAGAGGGGCTGGAAGAGGGTGAGCAGTCAAAGAGGGCAGGGTCTAAGTCAGAGATTTATTCCTGTCTCCCAAGCTGGAGAAGTCCCAACAAGAAAGAGAAAAGGCATGACACAGACCCCTTTAAGTAGGAGCTGGCCAAAGGAGAAGGGGTGTAGGCTGGTGAGAATACACTCACCCTGCTCTGGGTCACACCCCACCCCCACCAGGCTGAGCACAAGGTCACTCATCTTGCTCTGGACAGGCCTCTCCATCTCTCAGACACTCTCTGTGCCTGTCTGGTTGCCACACACCCCCTGCACATCGGCGGGCCTGTGTCCTCAAACAGTTGATCTTGTGCACACACAGCTTCTTTGTATCCAGCCACCTCTCACACACATGTTCGGATGGGTCTCACACAGTATCTGTCTGTCTCTCATTTCCACTGCTTGGCGTGCACATCACGAACGCGCTGACTCTGTTTTTCTACCACACATGCCCCCGTGTCAGCCTCTCCTACCTTGTCTCTCCGTGATCCTGCCCTGCATATTCAGTGAGTGTTGATCTGCCTCCAGTGTAGCTATGTGCTTTCGGTCTCTATGGGTCTGACTCTTTCCTCTGGCCTGCTTTGCAAATCTATACTTTTATGCCTCTTCCTGTGCTTGTTCTATTGTCACACCGATATATAGATAACAACCATTCAGTCCTTCAGCATCTTTGGACCCCTAAACCTTTATACTTCAGTAGGTAGTTCCCTCTGCCTGGCCTGCTGGCTTTTCTTCAGCTGCAGTGAATGGCCTTTTACTGCCTGGCCAGAGACATCTGATAGCCCAGAGGCCAGAGCTGGCCCCTCATGAACATCCTGGGACAGCTCAGCCTTTGAGCTAGAGGCAAACAAGGACTTGTATTCACAGAGGCTTGGGTTGCTCCTTCTGCCCTTGGACCAGAGTTCCTGACTGTGGGTACTTTGTGGCTCCGCAAAGCAAGACTCTATCCTGGAAGATGGAGAGGTCATGTAAGGGCATTCCAGAAGGGGGTCTCTAATAGTGATTCATTGGTCAGTCGACAGCATGGCCTGAGAACCTACACTGCTAGGTGTTGAGGGGACACACAGAGAGAGAAGACAGAGTCTCTGTCCTTGGGAAGCTCCTACTCCAGTGGAAGGCCTGTGATCCCTGCCCCTGACATGCTCACAGACTTCAGGGACACAAAGGCTGCACACAGAGGGAAAGGCTTCAAGGAGCACATGGTGAGGCAGCAGGTGTACTGGAACATGCGCAGAATGTCGGGGGAAGAGGCCTGGGTTCTGTTCTGGTGGGGCCAGTTTGAGTTTTGTGATCCTCCCAAGCCAGTTAATCCAAGTTCCAATTTCTTCATTTGTAAATTGGGTGGGGGATGGGGGGAGAATATCTAATTCACATTAAATAAAATAATGCCATATTAGTGTGTGCAAACCATGCATGCTAGAATCATAAAAGTGCAAATTACTGCAGTACACATTATGCACACAAGTGCCAGGACAACCCAGAGTCCAGTGGGATGAATCAGGAAAGACTCCCTGGAGGGAGGGGATTTGGCAAAGATGGGTGGGCAACTGGACATCACCACCCAGGTGGAATAGCTGGCCATAGATGATGGCCTTTGTAGCTTTGGTTTTCTAGGAGCAACCAAGGGAAGGGATGGATGTAACATTTACTGACACCTGCTGCATGCCAAGTGTTATTTTTTCAGATGGAGCCTGATCTCGGCTCACTGCAACATCCACCTCAGGCATGAGCAATTCTTGTGCCTCAGCCTCCCGAGTAGCTGGGACTACAGGAGCCCACCACCATGCCCAGCTAATTTTTGTGTTTTTAGTAGAGACTGGGTTTCACCATGTTGGCCAGGCTGGTCTCGAACTCCTAACCTCAAGTGATCTGCCTTGGCCTCCCAAAGTGTTGGGATTACAGGCGTGAGCCACTGTGCCCGGCCACCAAGTGTATTACGTACATTATATTTCACTACATGCTAAAAACAATCCTATTGCCATATTCATATTCTCCCTTAAAATAGATAAACAGCTTTCCCAGAGACTCAGAGCTGGGATCTGAACACCAGGCCTGTCATACTTCCAAACTTGTGTTCTTTCTGTAATATCAGACTACATGGAATTTTCAGGTACCACACAAGCTCAGTTGGCTTACCACAGAACATAAGGAGAAGGTTGACAATTAAAGAGGGGAGACAGTGGACAGGTAGACAGGTGGGCAGAGCTGGTGGGGGAAAAGCCAAGATCATCTCAACAGCTTCCTTGACCCTTACACATCCTGACTGTCAACCAAATTGCATGTCTTCACACTAGGTGAAAACTCCAGCAACTCAATTGTAGGTTACTAGGACACTCTAGAGGGAGGACCACTCCTGAGCGAGCATTAGTTGCCATGGCAACCAGAATATATCCAGCAGCCCCTCTGGAA